GTCTGCATACTAATGGTGCCTGTTTTACTCTGTGTCTTGCAGGGAGCAGAACGAGGAGGACTCTGGGAAGATGGGAGCAGACTCGCTGAGCAAGTAGGTAGTTGATCTGAGTTAATGAGCATGTGGTTACTAAACATGAAGTAAAATTAAAGTTGCTTCAGCCACTGAGCACCATGCAGACATCCCCTTCTCTTTCTTTTCTACACAATCAACAATCTAAGAATAATAATCTGTCATTCTTGATGTCAGACAGGAGTTTGTTTCCCTAGGGAGGGTTTAAAATGCTTCGCACGGTCATTTGGAGAGTAACGTCACTCTGGATGAGGAGTGAGCTCCAGGCTTTTGTTTATTCCTAAATCATTCCCCTCTGAATCTCTGGAATGCCCTGCAGCCGACAGAAACAGCACAGGAATCTCGGTGCGTTTATTGTCCGTAGGATTTGTGGGATTCGGTGCTCGGCAGCCCCTTCGGGAGCCGCGGGGGAGTCGTTTCTGTGCCGTGGTGAGATTCCAGACGTTCGGCACATTTCCTCTAATTCGTTCTCCGCTGTGCTTTGCTCCGCAGGGACCTGTCTCCGTCCTCCGCGGGGAAACGGTGAGTCTGTGGCGGTGGGCCGCCTGCGCTCAGGGGGGAGTGGGGGCCGTCGGGCGGGGCGCTGCAGAGGGAGGTCTGATGGCGGTAGTGATGATGTCATCGGGACCCCCTCGCTCACGCCTCTGCGCCTCTCGTCCCGCAGGCCCTCCTCGCGCCTCCCGCAGCACCGCCGCAAGAAGAGGAAGGAGATGGACGACGGGCTGGCGGAGAGCAGCCAGCACAAACCCAGTGAGAGCGTCCCCCTTCGCCTCTGTCCTCTCCCCCCCGTGACCCCGCCTCCCTCGTCACCCCCTTCCTCTGGCTCCGCCTCCCTCGTCACCCCCCGCCTCTGGCTCCGCCTCCCTCGTCACCCCCCGCCTCTGGCTCCGCCTCCCTCGTCACACCCCGCCTCCGCCCTCGGCTTTGTCTCGCCTGTCTCTCTGCCCCACGGGGCCACTGTTTCACGCACACTCTCTGTCTCCGCCTGTGTTTCTCCCCGTCTCTCCTGGGACGTCCCACTGCCGGCCTCTCTCTCCATCTCTCCCTCTCCCCCCGGCAGACACCTACATCATCAAGCTGTTCGACCGCAGCGTGGACCTGGCCCAGTTCACCAGCAGCACCCCACTGTACCCCATCTGCCGCGCCTGGATGAGGAACAACCCCTCGGTCCGTGAGAGAGCGGGGTCCCCCAGCCCCCCACCCAGCCTGGTGGAGGAAGAGGTGAGCCGCCAAGGTGGGGGGGTGGTGGGAGGGGCAGAGACAGTCACAGCCCTTTACACAAAGCGTGGCAGGGGTGTGAAACAGCTGCAAGACCTCCCTGGATCAGTGAGGCAGGCTGGACAGTCCAAATGGATGACCCAGTGGTTCAGAACCCATCCAGTCACCAGGTGGTCCGGGCCTGAGGGGGGAAGGTTGCAGGGGTACCCTGTCTAGCTGTAGCTGAGAGCCTCCTGGCGTGTCCCTGTCTCCCAGGTGGCGGACATGCTGAACGGAACCGGGACCAACGTGTACCGCCTGCCCCCGCCCACGCCCTGCGCCGTCGCCGCCCACAGAGAGCCCATCAGCCTGCGCATCCCGCCGATAGAGAAGGCCCCCGTCAGCGAGGTGAGCCCCGCAGTCCTGGGGCGCCAGATGGGAGCCCCGCTCTCTGGGGGGAGGTACGAGGTACGAGCCCCGCTCTCTGCGATGTTGTAGGGTGCGAGTCGGGTGACTCCTCCACGGCACACAGCTGTTCTGGGTGTCATGTCCCTGTTGGGCCAGCAGGTGTCTCCCTTGCTCTGCTCTGTCCTGCGCCGTGTTCTTGCTCTGACTCGGCTCGCTGTCGCCTGCAGGTCTGTGCCACGCCCCCCGCGCCCTCGGCCCTGATGTTCAACCACATGGAGCACTGGAAGAGAGTCCGGCAGAAGTAGGTCTCGCGCCGGTGCCCCCAAGGAGTTCCCCCCCCTCTCTCTCCTGGCTGTTTAATCCCCCTCCGTCCCCGTCCCACTCCCCGTCCCACTGCCCGTCCGGGCCTGCGGCTCTCGCCACTGTCTGGCCGCCTGGGCCGCTCGGCCTGCTGGGACGCTGGGTGAACGGTGGCGCGGGGGCCGCGGGGGGGCGATGGCTGCCCACGCCGAGACGGCGGAGGCCGGAGCTCGACCCGTGCCGCCCGCCCTTTCTGGCTCCGTTTCTCCGCGGTCTTATTTTCACGGCCGGTCTCGTTTCCTGCAGGTGGAAGGAAGCTTCCGGAAGGAACCAGCTCCGCTACAGCGAGAGCATCAAGGTCCTGAAGGAGATGTACGAGCGTTAGGGCGTCCTGGGGCGTCCGGGGGCACGGACCGGCGCCCCCTCGCCCCGAGCAGGAGTGGCAGCTCCCTGGGGGCACTCTGGGCCGCGGGCAGACCACGGGCTGTACCAGCCTCCTCTGGGGGAGGGCGGGGGAGCGTCTTCACCACAGAGACTCTAGTGCCACAGCTTATTGTTTTACTGACGTCACTGCGGGCTTGTTTCCTAGCCAGCTGCTTCCTCTGGGGGCAGATCGTTCCCGATATAAAGAAACTTCACGCAATTTAATAAAAACCGCAGTTTCTGTTTTTGTGGCGTCTTGCTTTCAGTTCTGAAGCCTCCCCCTGTCTTCACCGGCTCACGATGGGCTCCGTGTCCTGGGGAAAGGTAACCCAGTCCTCTGTTCTCCCATGCTCGCGATGTTCAATCTTTTCTTTACAATTCTAACAAATCCTGTAACTAGGGCACAATCTAAATTAATCCTGTGTAGAGGCACGTTCACATTTCCCATTTCAATCCCTTGGACCACGATACTAGAATTACACAAGGAGTGATCAGAAAAGGGCAGTGTGCCTGCAACAACAGATGACTGTGCTGCTCCAGTAGCCCTCACTATCTGAATTTCTCTTTGATCCTTCAGTTCTCCAGTTAACGAAACTAACCCTTTCACAATGGAAGGCTCATAACCAGGATGGGGAGTACTGTCCCTTGTCGAAGGACCGACAACATGGGAGACAGCCTGGCTAAGCCCTACACTCAGCTTGCTGCTGCCCACGTTTCAAGGACATGCAGTCAGCAGTAACATGACCTCTCCTGTGACAGTTAAAACAGTCCCGCTCCTCTTCAGGACGTGAGGAACTAGTTTTTAGTGGGGTAGACTGAGGTTGTGAACTGAAAGTAGACAAAGTCTTTTCCACATGCGCAGAAGATGTTTTTGTGCGCGAGCACAAACTCGTCTGCCAAAAGAGTGGCTTGTGACAAGGAAGACACTTTTGGTTCACTTAAACAGACAACCACGCATTCAGGCAAACAGTTCTTAAATTCTGCTAAGAGCATTAACTCGCACAATGAGTTAAAGTCGCTCACTTCACTGGCTACAGACCATTTATCAAAGAGAATTCCCTTTTCTCTGGCGAATTCAACAAATGTTTGGCCTGACACTTCACAATGATTTCGGAAGCGTGGTCTATAAGCTTCAGGAACTAATTCGTAAGCCCGTAATATAGCAGCCTTCACAGTAGCGTAATGCAAACTTTCTTCTAAGGAAAGTGTAGAGCACACTTCCTGAGCTTTGCCCACTAGTCTACACTGCAACAGCAGTGACCAGACCTCCTTAGGCCAGCGAAGCGATGTGGCAATGTGCTCGAATGCACCAGCGTGCTACCGCTGTGCTGGTGAACTTCTACCGCTGCACCATCGAGAGCGTCCTCTCCAACGGGATCACCGTGTGGTACGGCAGCACCTCTTCTCGAGAGAGGAAGGCACTGCAGAGAATGGTCAATATGGCCCAGAAGATCATCGGCTGTGGTCTCACCGAGATTCAACAGCTCTATGAGGACCGCTGCCATGGTAGAATTATGGCCATCACAGAGGACAGTCACCACCCCGGGCATGAGCTCTTCACCCCACTGCCCTCAGGCAAGAGATACAAGAGCATACGGACACTGACCACCAGATTCCTCAATAGCTTCTACCCACAAGCAGTGCGATTGGAGAACACATTTGGCCATGCCCCTCGGACCACACCTACACCATCTACCTCATTATGATTTCTTATTTATTGCACATCTCCAGTCGTTGTTTACACGTCTGCATTGTTTACATTCAAACTGTTTACTTGTACATTGTCTTGATGCACTATCTGCACTTTGTGTTTTTACACTTTTTAACAACCGAGAGACTTTCTGTCAGTAAGAAACCCATTGTACTAGCGCACGTACCGGTTACATACGGCAATAAATTTCAAGTTCAAAGTACGAATCAACTTCCGACTCCCTGAATAGAGGGACTAAAGCACTGTGCTTACTTACATCGAAGGTGGTCGAGAGTGGATCTTCCACAGGAGACACTAGAGGCCTCGGAGTGGGGCGGCTGCGCACCAGGAGCATTCTTTCTCGCTTCCAGCTCAAGCTGTCGGAGCTTGACCTCTGTCTCCGCCTCGATCTCCAAGGCGCAATTCAAATTCTGCCTGGCGCACCTGGGCTTTTTCCTGCGCCTCCAGGTGCAAGCGGGCCAGACGAACTTTGGGGCGAGTTGCTTTTTGACCCAGTGGAGTCTGGAGAGAATGGTTCAAAGGGAGGCAATGGCCTTGACCTCAGCCACCCCCGGCACCTGGTCCTGTTCTTCAGAAGTCCTAGCAGGGTTAGCACCAGCCCCAGGAGAACTGGCATCCTTGCTCGGTAGTACAACGACCTCTAACTCCACCAGTCCATCCATCACAGCTCTCTTGATGGCCCTTTCAAGAGCTTCTCCGATACCTGAATACAATTCGTCCTTCCTACACCTGTCCAGCTGCTCAAAGGAAGGTTCCTCCACAAACTTTCACAAATCAAAAGCAGACATAATTACAGCACCTTGCCAAAACACAATCCAGATCTCCTAAACCTGCTCTTATCCCACAGAAAATACCAAATGACGCTTACCAGTCCCAGAATGCACAAAAGTACAAACACCAAAATTATGCAACCGAACGTCAATCCTTAGGATGGGAATGTGAGATCCCGGACGAGCCCCCAATAATGTTACCACCCCAAGTGTCTAGGGGTAAAGGGGTGTAACATTTAAGCGCTTTGAGAAGCCACCTTTAAAGGCGCTATATAAAATAAAGTTTATTATTATTATTATTTAGGATCATTTTTGGAAGCAGGTGGGGTCTGGTGAGGGACTAGGAAGCGCGAGAACAAGGGTCAGTGCAAAAGTGAGGATTTTAAGGTGAGTAACTGGGTGTAATTGGAGACAATAACACACAGGGAGAGGGAGCTAGAGCAGTGCCAAAGAAAAGAAAATCACACACAAAATGGAGCTGGCTAGGAAGGTGAGGGAAAGCTGACCTGACTACAGAAGAAAACCCGAAACACACGGTCTTCAGCGTCTTCAACAGCCTAGCTAACCTCCCCTGACTCCCCAAAACCACACAAGACAAACAGCACTCACCCGTCCTAAACTAGTGTGACTAGTACAAGAATCAACTACGTGTGTGCAAAATGTACCCAACAACCTGAACTAACTCTGTACACAAAAATACAAGTGAACTACGAACACAAACGAGAGTAGACAAGTAACAGGGTAAAAAAACACAGGTTGATACAGTAACAAGTTTGGGCAAGGTAATGGCAAAATTATGATAACACGCACAAACGACAGTACAAAGAGACAAACAGAAACCAACAAAACAGCAAAGCCAAAGCAAAATCAAAAGCCAAGCAGGATCCAAGTGAAACAAAAGGCCCCTTCCTTCTGGAATCCTCCATGTTTTATACTGAATAAGATGAGCTGTGATTGGTCGGGAAGCTAATTGAAGATGATGTCATACGGAAACAGTGGTGCAATGATGAACCAATGGGGAAGGGAGAACAATCAAAGTCAGAAGTTTGGAACAACAACAAAAACACACAGACCACACACTGGGACGTTACAACAGAACAGAGTCCATGCAGACAATTCCAGCAGACGCCATTGTTGCCCCATTGCACGTTAATGACATTGCTGTAGACGGACTGCAAAGTTCAAATACAAACTGCATCGCAGTAGTCCCTATCAGTTAGTAAAAAACGTGTTACGGACTCTGTGCAGACTGCAGCTGTCCACGTGCTGCCTTTGCAGAGACCTGACCTGGCATGATGCACTATAAACAGACACACGGGCCAAATGGCTCTTCTTGTTTTTAACTTGATTATCTTGCTGCCGAATGCCTCATTATCATCATCGCTATCTCCTGAGATCAGCACCTCTGAGACCGAGTTGCAAAGAATTAAATTTATTACCGTGCTCATCAGAGGTGAATGTCACATACGTGTGTCTGTTGCACCAGCTAGCTGTGAAAACCTCAGGTGAAAGCAGAAACAAGATTTGAACCGCATTATGAGATACGTGAGTGATCATAATTCGTCTCAAACCACGACAGCACATGATCTCTGTCTCCTTCAGTTCCCATTAGGCCTTAATTCCCATTACGAACTGGGGCACAGGGGCAGGAATTGGTACAGGACGCCATGACAGCATGCCCCCTCCCAGTCTTCTAACTTTAATTGGTTTAATTAAAGCACCGAAGCAGCCAGAGGAACTAAGAGATGAGCTGGAACAGGTAGAGTACAATATCGTGCACCACTGTGCCACAGTGGCAGAGCGATGATCTCCCCCCACACAGCACCAGGCCGTCACTGTGCTCTTGTGCTGCACTGCAGGGGCAAGGCTGAGACCTCTGTGTGGGAAACTCAGCTTCCCTAATCCTCCAAACAACCTGCTGAAGAGGCTTGGGCCATCACACCCACAGCGACAAGAACTGCAGAAGCCACAGATGACATCAGATACCCTCCCCCCCGCCTCTGCGAACAAGCACAGAGCACGCACATGTCCGTGGCCATCTCCCAAGACGGGACATGCCTGAGCAGAACCTCCAGGCGGTCCTGCCTTCTGGAGTCGCACACGGGTCCGAGGTGATGAGCAGCCACAGTTATTCTGCGGTCCTGATTGTGTACTTCAATCTGCCTGCAAGTTGAGAAGTGATGGTGGAGAACAGAGAGCCTGTTAACCGCCTGGTTTCAACACTAGAGAAGTGGCCTGTCACTCCGAGCACTGATGATGATGAAGAGGATGAGTGCAGTTTGAACAGTACAGGAAGTGGCCTGTCGGTCCCACAGTTGGGTATTTCCCTGCTGACGAGTGCAAAGCGCTGGTGTTGTTCTGGGTTTGGGGTGAGAGAGGGGTGAACAGTGTGTGAGGGGTGAGAGAGGGGTGAACAGTGTGTGAGGGGTGAGAGAGGGGTGAACAGTGTGTGTGAGGGGTGAGAGAGGGGTGAACAGTGTGTGAGGGGTGTGAGAGGGGTGAACAGTGTGTGTGTGAGGGGTGAGAGAGGGGTGAACAGTGTGTGAGGGGTGTGAGAGAGGGGTGAACAGTGTGTGAGAGGGGTGCAGAATCAGCTAGCGGGGTGCGAGCAGTTAAAGAACGCGCCTCCCTTCTGTCTCTCAGCTCCGGAGCAGCAGCCCTGCAGCTGAGCTGATCTGAGCAGCCCTGAAACCAGCTGGACGTCCCCAGCAGCGCCGTGGGCGAAGGGTGATGGCAGAGGGGACAGCCCACACCCACTGGAGAAACACGCTCTTGTCAGCACCTCCAGGGTGTTAGGAACACTTTCTCCCAGAACTGAGCTCGGCAGCGCTGTCGCTGCAGACACCTCTGCGTCTCAGTCTTCCCGG